GGGTGGGGGACAATTTCAAATGGAGACATCACCCTAACCGTTACCACTCTGGTCGTTGGGGGAGAAAGTGAAGCACAAGAAGGGAAGGCTTGACGGACAGCATGTGGAAAAACTTCATGGTATTTAAAAGAAGATACAACACCCTTTTCCGACAGAGCTTATAACAAACAACTTGAAACATGCCGTAACTAGAACCCCAATTGTTTTGAAATATCATCAATCCTTTTAACATCACCCAACTCCAACCCTCATTAACCTTCAACCCTAAACAGTAGCCGTAACCCTCCTTATGCTCCTCCTCGCTCCCTCGCCCGTCATCATGACAGCCCCCTCCATCTCCAGCGCTCTCATAACCTCCGCAAACTCGGCCGGCTCAACCTGCACACCTGCCCCCTCACCCAACCGCCTCGCCACCTCCGAATACCTGACGGCCTGTCCGCCGCTCGTCATCTCATCCAGTAACCGGAGAGCAGCATCCTTCATGTCCGCCTTGCGCTGGCGCTCCGCTGCGCTCGTACCCTCCGTCAGCAAGCTCATGTCGATGCGGCCCTGGCTGTCAGTGGCGGCAGTCTTGAGCGCCGACTTGATGAGGCGCACGGCCTCGCGGACGTCGTCGCGCGTGACGACCTCGGACAAACGCATCTTGGCGTGCGCCTCGGCCAGACGGATCATGGACTCGAGCTGACGAGTGGTGGCCGTGATACGCTTCTCGGCGGCGCGGACGTCCTGGCCCAGCTTGCGCATCTCGACGTAGGCTTCGACGAGCTCGCGGCCGGCTTCGGGGCTGAGGGCCGGGTGGATGTGGGAGCGGGCATAGGAGATGTAGGAAGTTAGGAATTCGACGGGCTTTTTTTAGGAATTGGTTAGCTTGGATCTCATTGTCAAAAGCCAGATAAGGATATAGAGACACAAAACACTTACAAGAATGTCGTTGGCTTGTTGAGCACTCTCGGGCTTGTCTTCGAGATACATGGAGAGCAAATGGCGGGCCAGGCGCTGATCGGTCTTCTCGTCAACACGATCAAGAATGAGGTAGACCAGATCGAAACGGGACAGCAGGGTTGGCGGGAGGTCAATATTTTGCGGCACTGAAAGATCGGGGTTGTATCTACTGCCGATAGGGTTGGCGGACGCCAGGATCGATGTCCGGGCATTGAGAGTGGTGATGATGCCGGCCTTGGCGACGGATACGGTCTGTTGCTCCATGACTTCGTGAAGAACGGAACGGGTTGATTCGTTCATCTTGTCGAACTCGTCGATGCAGCAGACACCGCCGTCGGACAAGACGAGCGCACCAGATTCTAGAACAAGCTGGCGGGACTCAGGGTCACGCGTTACATAGGCTGTGAGACCTACGGCGGAAGAACCTTTGCCACTTGTGTAAACACCTCTTGGGGCGATCCTGTGGACATAGGAGAGAATCTGGGACTTGGAAGTGGAGGGGTCACCACAAAGGAGAACGTTGATGTCTCCGCGGTACTTGGGGCTTCCACCCTTCTCAAACGTCTTGTTCGTGCCTCCGAATAGTTGAAGAAGGATACCCTTCTTCACATCGTCCATCTCGTAGATCGATGGGGCCAAAGATCGGGAGAGGAGATCGTAGATGTCCGGTCGGGCGGCAGTTTCCTTGATCCTCTCCTCCTCGTCGGCAGAGACCTTGCGGACCTCGTCCATGCTCTGACCATTAGCATGGGCTTCCTCTTCCTCGGCGAGGTCAAGGGTTGACGGATCGCTACCCATCCTCTTCCTGTCAACCTTTTGAACATGGACGACGTCAACATATGTCTTGTGCACACTCTTGACCGTCCTCATGCGCGGGTTAACACGGACGGGGGTGACCTTGAAGATACCAGTGAGCTCAACTCTGTCACCTGCCTTGCAGAAGTCGACAAGCTCGTTATAGACGCAAACGGATACTGAGTGGGGTGTCTGACCAGCAGGCACATTATCCGGAGTTTCTTGCAGCTTGATAACTTGCTTGTCCTCGAACGCACATCTGTTGTGGACGATTTGCATCGAGTTCTTGGAGGCGCAGCGAGCCCGAGGACACTCTGTAGGCTCACGGATCTTGCCACGATCCAACTGAACGGTTATGGAGTGACCGCAAACACTGCACTTGAAGAATGCATCCTTCATGTCCGGGATAACAGGCGTGGTTCTGATGACAAGACCCTTGATGGACACAAGCTTGTCCATGTCGGATGGGTTCAGATCACGAAGATTGGTAATCTTGTCAAGACCCCACGGGCGAACCACATACGCCATTTGGCTGACTTGATCCTCAATGGTAGGCTCCGCTGTTTGAGCAGGCCGCGGGGTGGCTGGTTCCTCACTCCTTTCGGAGCTTGGGAAGTTCATCTCGGAGCTCTGGGAGGCACCTGGGGCGGGCCTAGAGTTCTGAGATGCTCTTTGGCTGGCCATTTCTTTTTGCGCCAGCTCCATCATACAATCGTGTACGCACTGATCCATGACCGGGATGATTTCGGTAGGATAGTGTTGGACTTGGTGCCAGAGTTTCAGGGTGCGTGGGTAGGACTTGAGGTCGCGGAGGTCCAGATACAGCTTGTTGGTACCAAGCAGCAGCATATTCTCCAGTGCCTCCCAATATGGCTTCGCATCCGCATCCGGATGGCCAATAGTCTCGGCCTCGTCCGCGCCATCAGCCCACATTCGGTATTTCCTGGTGAAGTTCCTAAGGAAGTCCTTGAACGCGGAAAACGAATCATCGAGAGAGATGGTTGTACCCCAAACAAGACCTTGGCTTTGTCCGCCAAGGGCATCTGCCTCAGAGGTATTGGGGTTGTTGGTGACGAAAGAGTTGGCATCGGAGCCAGGGGCATCGCGGATCACACGACCGGCGTCGTCGAGAATAATTCGGCGGGGAATTTGGGCGGGAGTTCGGAGAGGGTCACCGTTGATGTCGCCTCGACGGGATCTACCGGTGACGGATCTTTGCGAGCTGACGAAGAGCTGACTGCTTTCGCTACGAAGATCGGACTGTTGGGTGAGGTGACGGCCTGGGCTAGAACTGGACGCATAGCGGATGGGGGACGAATCTATAAAGTGTGGTCAGCATCGGAGTGAGCTCACAGTGGCTTGATGGTAGCCATACCTCCAATCAACTGGCTCCGTCCGTTTGCGCGAGGAGTTCGGTCGGCATCGCTCTGGGTCTCTGTCTGCTGGCGCAAAGGCGAGCTCGGCGCATTGCCTTGGTGGGCAGTGCTCTGGGTATTGCTCATCTGCCTCAAGGGCGAGGATACCGGGTTGGCGCCATTGGCGGGCGAGGAGGACTCGTAGAATAAGGGACTGGAGGCGAGTTGCGATGCGCGGGTCTGGCGAGGAGTTGCGCTCGAAGGGCCAGCCTGCGAGCTGCGAGTGGCGCGGGGAGTCGCTGATTGAGAGCTTCTCGTTGATCTGCGCTTTGCTGGAGAAGACATTTTGCAGCTCTGTCTTTTGGTGGTCTGGTTCAGATATGACAGAAACCGGGAGTAAACCAAAGAAGAGACAGAAGCACAAGTTGGGATGGAGACGATGGAGTGTTGTTGTGGCTCCCAATCCCTCTGTATTGCAAGGTGGTTGGCAGGACGGCAGCGTGTTCAGGGCGAAGGTGGATCACGTTCCTGTCTCGTACTTAGAGGGGAAGCGAAAAAAGACAGTCGCGACACACGCGTCTCCCATTAGAGGCACTTTACACGGCCGTGGCTGCAGGGGTGTGGTTGCGTTAGCCCATTAAAATCCCTGTCAATCCCAAAGCAGACGAGGCCAGCTTTTGGGTTCGAACTGTCAGGTACGTACCGCGCAGTGGGGCCTTTGGAAAGCTCGCTCTGGATTCAAGCCACATCACAGGGACCGCTTCACCCCACAACACCCACGGCAACGATACCGCCTTGTCATTGTTAGTACTACCCAGCAACTCTGGAGTCTAAGCTACCACTACTTACTATTTACCTACCCACTTGCGCCCATCGAAGTTCGAGTTGCCCCTCGCCGTCGACCTTCTCCAACCGATACCAGTCTCGAGACGACAATTGTTCAAGGAACAAGAACCCCCCAGATAATCAGCCAAGATGTCGCCAGGAATGTCGCTGTATAGCGTCAACGCTATAGGTACAATAGGCCACCGTGCTGCTCCCGGGTCGCGGCTCATACGCGCCATGTCGAGCAATGTTGACAATTGAGTTCCAACAGTAATCCTCTCCAGCGATGACGGTTCCCGGATATTCTCCAAGTACTACACTCCTCCTCACGCCGGCGCTGGCGCACCAGGATCAGGAGTAGCCGCTGGGCTCGGTATGCGATAGACGCTCCTTTACCCCCTTTTCAGGTGTCGCATGTTTTCATGAGGCTGACCAGATCGAACCTCGTACACAACAGCTACCTCAGGCGCTTCTCAGAACCCCTATCCCGACAAGACTTCTCAGATCCGTTTTGAGAAGGGCCTCCTTCAGAAGACAGCAAAGCAGGCCGGCGATATCCTCCTTTACGACAACAAGGTGGTGCTCTACAAGATGGAGTCGGATGTCGCTATCTACGTTGTTGGCAGCGCGGACGAAAACGAGGTTCTGCTCTACAACGTACTTTTGGCGCTTAGAGACAGCTTGCATTTGCTCTTCAAGTAAGTACCTCTGTCAATACCTATAAAGATGTTGGTTGTGAGACATGGTTGGCTAACTACGGGCTTTCTACACAGGCAATCGATCGACAAGCGCACGATAGTCGAAAACTACGATCTGGTATCCCTCGCCATTGACGAAATCGTGGATGACGGCGTTGTTCTCGAGACAGACCCTACGATTATCATTCAACGATGCAGCAAGGCACCACCTCAGGATGTCAACCTCAGCCGCCTTGATCCTTTCACTGAGCAGGGCGTCAACAACTTGGCACAACTAGGCAAGGCCAAGCTTACCGACTGGCTTCGTCAGGGTCTCTAAGGGGATGTGTTGGTGGGTAATGACAATGGAAAGAGTGTGGTGGTTGGGCGCAACCTAAGTGAAGTTGGCGTATAGGTTCGTTGAAGAATTCTAGGGCCTTTTCGTTGGCGAGGCCTCCTTATAGCAGAGTAATGGCCACACACATGAAGCAAAAGACACAGAAGGCCAACAAATGATGGGTTAGCAGAAAACAGGAGTTATAGTTCTTTTCTTGCGATCTATAGGGGTTGACCCCGTCTATATTCTAATATCGGAAGCTGCTTTCCTCAGCCTGTTCATGACCGCCGCCGCGATATCGTCTCCATCACTCACACCCTCCACGAATATTACATCCGCGCCGCGCCTGTCCAGCTCTCGGAGGGCAGCAAAAAGGCCATGCGCCACTCTCTTGACATCATCGCCCAAGTCAATCTCTAGCAGCCTCGCCAATACCGTGGTATCGTCCTCATCCAGCCATTGTCCTTCCCTGACAACGAACCCAATCTCAGCCATGTCCCCGCTGTCCTTCGCGGCGGCAGCACCGTCAAGCCCTTGACTCCTCAACCCCCCAGCAACAGGCCACCTTCCCGTCCTAATAACCGCCACACTCTTCACCTCCTTCTTCCCCACAGCCTCAACAGCCTCCCTCACATCCGCCCCCGGCACCTCCCCCCTCCCTCCCTCCACCTCATACAACACCACCCTCGCCTTCGGGCTATAATGCTTATACTTCATCCCCGGCGCCCTCGGCGCCGTCTTCGACCCGACCTCCGCCTGGTCTTTATACGCCTTCTCCACCCCCTCCCAGCCCGGGACAGACCTAATCTCCTCCAAACTGACGCCGCCCGGTCTCAGCACCACCGGCGGCGAGCAAAGCCCATCCACAACCGTGCTCTCCACACCTACGCTGCATGACCCGCCGTCCAAGATCAGCTCGATGCGACCGGCCAAGTCGTCCAGCACGTGCTGCGCGGCGGTGGGACTGGGCTTGGTGCTGGCGTTTGCCGAAGGCGCGGCCAGAGGGGCGTTGGCGAGCTTGATCAGCGACCGAGCAAGCGCGGAGGCGGGCATGCGGCAGCCGAAGGTGGGCAGGCCGGCGGTTACTTCCGGCGCCAGAAGAGAGGGAGAGGGGTTGGGTAGGAGGATGGTGAGTGGGCCGGGCCAGAAGCGGGTTATGAGGGGGTGGTAGATTTCTGGGATCGGGTCTTTCTCTTCTTCCTGGTTCTGACCTGAAGAAGAGGAAGAAGAGGAAGGAGAGGAGATGAGTGATCGTAACATGCTTAAATCGCAGACGTGCACGATCAAAGGGTTGTCGCTTGGTCGACCTTTGGCGGCGTAGATGCCCTTGACGGCCGCGCTGCGGGTGGCGTCGGCGCCCAAGCCGTAGACGGTTTCCGTGGGGAAGGCGACGGGGATGTCGGTGGTGCGAAGGTGGTGGGCTGCTTCGCGAAGGGGAGATAGGATGTCGTTGTCGTTTTCTGATGATGATGATGATGATGGAGTTGGGACCTCCCATGTGTTGAGGTTGCTGGTTTCATTTTTGTTGTCTGAGTCCTTCCAATGCCCGAGTGCTTGGATGTTGCTGGCGTCCACCTTTACTTTGAGAATCCGGGTTTCCATTGTCGAAGTTGTCGTAGCTGGTGCCATTAATGGCACTGCCGTAGGGTTTGATTTGGTTTGTAGACTTGTGGTGATGTTGTGTCGTTGGAGGATTGGGGTGAGATGTGGGAGATGCGATCGTCTGAGTCGGGCAGTGAGGGTTTTGATATTGGCGCAAATAGGTCCCCTCATTCGGGGAATTCGTTGATTTCGAGTTTCGAGAAAAAAATAAAGTGTTTGTCAATTAACTCATAGACTTTGAGAAAAAGATATCATGTAAAGAATTGGTTGTAGTGGTTATCAAAAGTTGAAGTTGTGGTGTTCAAGCTCAGGGTTTTGAGTCACTGTGGAGAAAATTTCTTTTTTATCTCAACTTTAACCCAACAACGTCTTACACCCATTCAAGGCTGCCCATCTGACAACCACCACCACAACCCAAATTCAGTCACATTCATTGTTGGCTGTGAATGGCCTTTTCAAATTTGATTCATTTTCGCTGCAATCCATCTGTCAATACGAATTACAATTCATATACTTGTATACCGCTGAGCGCTTATCAAGTTATCTGTACCTGACCCTAGATCCATGCTACACCATACCCCCCTGAACTCTCCATGCACACACCAAATACACATGTCAATTAATTACTCCAGTGCGGTTTTGATACGAAACCTAATCCCCTTATAACACTCATACTCCCCTCACACACTCGTATTCACCTCGCTCCCCCTCCTCCCTTGCCTCACCGGAAGCGTATTCACATGCGCATTCGCAAACCCCAGATGCTCCGAGAAGCTAGCCAGCAACCTCATCACATCATCCCTCACCTCCTCTCGATTCGCCATTCCCTGCATCACTCTGACTCTCGGCGGCTCTGGGACCTGGGGCATGTGCATCATATCTGTTGAACCCTGACTATTGCTGTGGTCATGACCACGACCATGACCATGACCCTGCTGCATCTGGTGACCATGGTGCCCGCCGCTACCATGGCTGCCCACTCCATTATTCCCGTTCATGCTCCCGCCCATGCCGTACCCACGAGGCGGATGATGCGAATTGTCCGGATCGGGCCGCATGCCGCTCGGCCGTCGCCGACTGCGGTTGCGCTCACTGCTGCCCATCGCCATCGGGTCCATGCTGCCGCCTAGGTAGTCCGACTCGGCGTACTCGCCCGCTGAATAGCCGCCCACGTCGTCGTCGGTGGCGTAGCTGTAGCTGTCTGCGTGTGAGTGGGCGCGACTGTGCGTACGGCTGCCAATGCTACTGCCGCCTATACTGCCGTTTCCGACGCTACCTCCGCCGTTAACGGAGGAAGCGTAGTCCGGCGTGCCGCGACCGTTGGTCCCGATGAATTGCTCCTCTGATGGCGCCTGAGCAACCCGGGCATAATCGCTGTCGTCCGATACGTAGATGGATGGTTCACGGACCGATGATGATCGCACAGCGGGCAACGGCTGGTAGAGTGAAGCGTGCCGCTCGAGGTCGAACGGGTTTGCGCCACCTATCTCTGAACCACTGACGGAAGCGGCGTCTGAGTTTGCTGTGGACGGTCGCGTGTACTCTCGATTGTTGAAGTTGTTGTTGAAATTGTTGTTGAAGTTATTGCTGAAATCGTTTGTTGGCTCAGGTAAACTTTCGTCGAGATCAATAAGACTCCCAACTGAAACGCGATTGTCGACCGGAGGCTTGGGTGGCATGGAATCATAGCCCGTCGATTGGAAGCCTAGCGGGTCTGTTGGGTGGTGTATGAGAGGTGGTCGAACAAAGTTGTTGTCATTCTGGCTGTTGTCGTTAGAGCGCTCTTCAGTCATGGTCCATGGAAAGCGTGACATCTCCGGATGGGCAGAAGCCGGCGGAGCAGCCATTGACGGAAACTTCCAGTCCTGAGTACGGCGGTTGATGTTCATTGGCATATCTGCCGGGTCGCTGAGAGGCGGTCTGCTGAAGTCCGGCGGGGGGTTCGGGTCGAATGCTGCGTAGTCTATCGAACCACGGGGACCAGCCTTAATAGTCTCCATGTCAACAAACTGAGACAAGTCATTCCCATCAAAGGACGCATCCAAATCTATGAGCGATTCTCGTAGTGCCGCCTGTGAGCTCGGCTCATATTGTTGTCGAAATTGGAGATCTGAATCCTTCGGTGTATCGGATGCTCCTAGTGTTGTTTCTGGTGTGGCCGTTGGAGGAGGAGGCCCCAGACCGTAATAGGCACGCGAGTTCTCATCGTATCCGGAGATCGTATTGGGATCAAACAGCTTTTCCAGAGGTGCCTTGAGAGCTAGTAGTTTGGGAGGAGGTGGTCGCCTCCTCCCTTTGGGCTTGGGCCGCCGCGTCTGCTCTTCCTCAAACTCGAAGTCGACATTGTGCCCATAAACATCATAGACAGCTTGGGCATCGCTGTCCATGGCCATTCGGTCAAAGTCGACCGTTGTGCTAAAGTTCCACTCATCATTGGAGAGAGCGGTTGAAGCATAATCGGACGGGCCTTGAGCACCAACCGGGGCAAACAGCGATTTTCTGATACCCCCCTGCGCCTCCCAGACCTTATAACCTCGTACAAGGTTGGAAAGAGATGCCGATGGGTATTCAGCGGCCGTGTTGAATATGTAAGGGTGCCGTTGGACCTGTTCGATCGTCGGTCGTTTAGCGGGATCCTCCACCAGACAGAAAGCCACCAAGTCCTTGAGATTGTCTGAGTACTGGTCTCCCTCTAAACGAGGCGCGTGGGACTTGATATAATTGCCAAGCTGGGGGATGTTAAACCCCGACATGACGTTGGGAGGAAGTCCAGAGGCAATCTCGTATACCATAGATCCAAACGCCCAGATGTCAACCGGTGTGCTGTAGGACGGTGTAGGTTCGAAGAGTTCTGGTGCCATCCAGTGAGGTGTCCCGATAAACGTCGACCGTTTGTCGAACTTGGTCTCAACGATGCCAGCCACACCAAAATCACAGAGCTGTACGGCGCCGGTCTCCGTCACAAGTACGTTGGCGCACTTGATGTCACGGTGGATGATTCCTTCTTTGTGTACCCAGAATATGGCCTCTGCGACTTCTCGTAGGATGGGAATGATCCACTTCTCCTGCAAGCCCCCGGGCGCGGTAGGCTTCATCAGAGTAGCCACGCTCCCGCCAGCACAGTACTCGGTGATCAGCCACATGGACTGTCCAACGGGAAGTACATCGAGAATGAGATTGATGTTCTTTGCGCCGCTGTTACTGAGTAACTTGAGGGCACTGGTCTCCTTCATAAACTCGCTGTACGTGTCCGCCAGCCTGGGATTTTCCCTGTCGCTCTCTTCGATGTCGATAATCTTGACAGCCACAACAGCACTGGACTTGTTATCCGTCGCCTTGTAGACGCGACCAAAGCTGCCTTTGCCGATGAGCTCCTCCAGCTGATATGGGGGGTGCCTCTTTCCCCGATTTGTTGCATTCTTCCGCAACCACAGCCTGCATCTTCTTGGCATCCTCGATGGCCTTTTTCTTTGTGGTGGTCAGAAAATCTGACCCGTACACCGATAGCGTCGCCATGATTGCTGACCGTCCCTAAAAAGGGGACCGGAGAAAACTGCTGGCAATAAAGTACCGGTGATTGTGTGAAGCCTCGGTATTCCTCCCGTTACTCTACCAGCGAGTCGGTCCAGATATGGGACAGGCTTCTGGCCCCAAGCGGTGTGACGGCGACCTAAGTGTGTCGAAGAAAACGACACCTCAGCCGTGCAGCGTTACTCTGGCGCTTTCTGTGGATGTAAATGAGATGAGTGCGTTTATGAGCCCTAGACCACGAGTGAATTCAAAACACGCTCTGCGGAAGCTGGGTATCAAACCTATGAACAAGTCAGTCCCATGGTAGCTCAAGATTTCCAAGACAGTGAGTGACCGGACAAAAGCAAGACGCTAGAAAGTTATAAGGACAATGGATGAGATAAGCCCAGTCGGATGGTCTCTGACAAGCATCAGTGTCCCTGATCTTCTCAGCTGTGAGGCAGTCGGGTGTTTTCATGTATGCATGTCCCTGGAGTGATGAGTCTAGAGACGAAGGTAGGGGTACAACTGATATTCAATGTCCATCAGGGGTGGCACCCTTGACGAGACGGATGAGAGGGAAGGGCAAGGTCGATGCTTGCCAAAGACGAGGACTTCATCTTTATCGCTCCGATTTGGAAAGAAGAGCAGCATGTACTCACATAAAAAATCGATGCTAAGAGTATCGCGGTATGTTCGGCTCCTGCTGCCGATGAATATTCCCGGTTGTTGACGATGAGATTGTGAAGAGAAACAACCTGTGTGAGGTTCGGAACTTGCCCGAGTCAGGGTCACCTAAGTCCGCGTTGTTCGGCTCCTGGCGCTGCCAGGGGCAAAGTATAAACTTGGCAACAGAACTTAACCGCAAAGGTCACACCACAGCCCAACCTTCAGGGTCCTGACAGGGCCAAACGAAAGATCCAGTTCCGACTTTCATCCAACTAAAGACCAAAGGTGTATCATTCGCCTCGACGCGATGGCTGGTTCATCAACGGAGCACGGATTGATGGATGAAGGAGAGCGACTCCTAGTTGTCAGTGCGCGTCCACACCGCTGGCTGACAGTGTGCCCGTCCCAACTGTTGGTTGTCGTTGTTTCCACCCGCAATTTGAGGGTTGACAGCGGATAGAAATCAGGGGACGGAGCCGAAACTCACGATGTGCTAAAGCGGCCCCAGAAGGGATTCCCGTCTTAAGCGATATCAACCAATGAGATCATCAGGACGCATGTCACCACGTGGATGAGGCTCCACTTATGGAGGATGTTTGAGGTCCTTCAGCGGGATTGCGGGAGTTCAGCAGTGCCAGGTCTCAAATCCAGCCCTGTGGCGGGCTTTGACATTGTAAGTAAAAAACCACAACAAATACATTCGTTCAAAGTTCATCAAATTCATGGTCTCATGGTGATAGCTTGAGGTCAAACCCGAAAAGAAAACGATATCCCGGATCCATTCGACCAGGCCAAGTCTTCAAGCTAGATCCACCCCGCCTGAACCCGCCAGCCTCTTCACCATCTTCCCATGAATTCCTTCCCAAGCACCTTCACATTGCCCTTTGGCAATTCCAATCAACAACCTCGAGCAACTGATCTCTACATTTTCCACAATCTCCAAGCCCCCATCTTTCCCTTCTTTGATCTCCCACACGGTCTCCATAACCATTGAAAGTGGGCTCCTGATTCGAACAAAGAGGCCAGTATCGAGCTTCGCAAACTCATATGTACTGACAACGTTGCTGTCCCACAGTCCGGCGGGCAGCGTATGGATAACATCGGTGACCTTGTAGGACTTTGTCTCGCCTAGCACTCGTGGCTGCACAGCGGCTGGAACGGTTGGCGACGTACTGGGGGTAAGAGGCTCGCATTTGGCAAGATGCGGGTCGCACGAGAGAAGGAACTCGTGGTCTTGTAGCAGTTTTATCGCCTGTTCCCGGGTGGTCTTTGGTGGGAGGGGAGACTTGTGTAAGAGTTGCGCTTTGGTGGAGAGAACTAGGTACCGTGGTCTTTCTGTTAGTTAATGTGGTCATCTGAGGTGAGCTAACAAGCCTTGGGATTCACTGGTACTAACAGGACATTTTGTAACCTTGTCGATCCGGAAGCTTTAGAAATTGACCCTTGTTATGGACGTTGGAATTCACGATGGATGGCGTGGTCAAACTTGGTTAAAAGTTCACACGGAGGCGAGAAGCAAATAGACAACTTGGTTGATGTATTGAGAGTTGTTAAACGCTTCTGCTCCCTTGTTCAGGAGTGACGCTTGACCTCACATATAGTAACAGAGATTGGTAGAGGTTGCTCGGTCCCTCCAAGGTCTGGTAGTTTTCGAATTCTAAACAGCTAAAGACGCCTCTCGGCAACAGATTCCAATCTTGAAACGACCGAGCTGAAACGGCGAATCGCAACGGTTCCATTCGATTTAAGCGCCCGAAGTCTGTTTACAGTTATCACAATGCTTTCAAAGAAGAAGGAAAAGAGGTTCACAACATATATAGTCCAGCACATAACACGAGCACGTTACGTAGATAGCTCAATTATTTCCAAATCCTCAAGAGCAAATACAGTCTGAAAAAGATATGAGTTTCTTAACGAGGGATTCAAGGTACATGGAAGCATTCTCAGGAGCATTGTACAGGTGTACTTGTACTAGTGAGGGGGCTTCTTTGCCAGAGCTTAAAGAAATGGTTACCGGGGACGGTTATTACAGTCAGGGGAAGTAGCGCTCCTAAAATATTGTTAGTATCATCTTGCAAGGGCAGCGTAGTGATTAACAACAGGGATGGGGCTGTACTTTAGGGAGCTTACGGGGTTAGGGTTCGCTCCCAATGTAGAAGGGAGCTTGGGCCAGTCGGTCGCGCAAGCGATGCGATGATGTCGCATGGGAAATCGGATTGGCGCGACTTTCTCCATGAACCTTGAAGACCAATCCCAAAAGAATAATCAGGTCATACCTAATTCCAGGATTCCAGCACCATCACAAGTGCCGTAACTACCATGGAAGCAGTAGTAAGGAGAAAGGCAGCTGCTTATGTCTGTAGGAGTTGCACCCGGCAGTTCCAACGACAACTTCGACGAAACTACTCGAACTCTGCCCCACGACCTGATATCTATGATGTGGTATGTGTTGGTGGAGGACCGGCTGGTCTAAGTCTCTTGACTGCGCTGCGTAAGTCTTCAAGCTGTGTACTGACCTCATACCTGATCAATTGCTTACTTTTAGGTCTATAGGCGCCAATCCCGTTACTTCCCACCTCCGAGTGGCCCTAGTCGAAGCCCAGGATCTCTCCAAAGTCAAGTCATGGAAGCTACCACCCAACAAATACTCGAACCGGTGCAGCTCTCTCACGCCTACATCCGCCCTTTTCCTCGATCAGATTGGCGCCTGGGAACATCTTGATCAAACCAGAGTCCAACCGTACCACGAAATGCAAGTTTGGGATGGCGTCACGGATGCTCGGATCGAATTCGACTGGGCCCCCGGCTCGGCTCCGGTAGAAGGCACCACGATTGCTTACATGAACGAGAACCTCAACCTCACATCCGGCCTCCTGAAGCGACTGGAGCAGCTCGGCGGCGTATCGGTATTCGAGGGCGCCAAGGTTGAAAATATCACATTTGGCGAGGAGACGGAGGACCTGGACCTTAGCCAATGGCCGGTCGTACACATTTCTGGAGGCAAGCAGCTTACTGCTCGCCTCTTGGTCGGAGCCGATGGAGCAAACAGCCCAGTTCGTGCCTTCGCTGGTATCGATGCGAAGGGTTGGGACTACGACAGACACGGCGTGGTGGCCACGCTAGAGATGGAGGGCGAAGGCTGGGGCGGAGAGCACACCAAGATTGCCTACCAGAGATTCCTTCCCACTGGTCCAGTTGCCATGCTTCCCATGCCCGGAAACATTGCAACACTTGTCTGGTCTACAACGCCCGAGAATGCCTCATTACTCAAGCGTCTCCCGCCCAAGGATTTTGTTGCTATGGTGAACGCAGCATTCCGTCTGAGCACAGTGGATCTGGCCTTCATGCACACCCAAGGGGCGGATCAAGACGATGAGTATTCGTGGAGGTTACAACACACACCTTTCAACTCCCGGGCGGTTCCACAGACGGTCGTTGGAGTCCAAGAAGGCACGGTTGCCTCGTTCCCGTTGAAGATGCGCCATGCTGACACCTACATCGGAGAGCGTGTTGCTTTGGTCGGCGATGCCGCTCATACAATTCACCCCCTGGCAGGTCAGGGCCTCAATCAGGGCCAGGGCGATGTGCAAAGCCTGGCCAAGACGATCGAGTTCGCCGTTACCCATGGACAGGATATCGGAAGTATCATGTCACTCGAGTCTTATGTATCGGAACGATACACAGCAAACCATGTGCTCCTTGGGGTCGTTGATAAGCTTCATAAGCTTTACTCTGCCGAGAGCGGCCCGTTAGTCCCCCTGAGATCACTCGGTCTGAATGCCGTCAATGCTCTTGGGCCGTTGAAGAGCTTCTTCATGAAGCAGGCTGCGGGAAGCGGCACCAAGATCTTCTGAGACCCGCGCCTCCATTTCCGGGCAGGATGGGCAGCTTTCGGAGTAATGTATATTTACTTGTACCAACTTTAGCCATGTGTCATGTATCACCATACCCCCGTGCGAGTTTGCTTCTAGGGAACAACTCAACCGCTCTTCCGCGATATCATTGGTAAAGCGGAGCCTCAAAGACCCCTCAATAACGCTGCGAGACGGACCTGTCCGATGTTCAAATCGTGACTCCCGTCTGTGACAAACACTGCCGATGGATCTAGACGACCTCTTGAACCACATCGGATCACAAGATGCCCCTTACGCGATCTCCCCAAGCTTCGGTCCGATCTCCTTGGACTCACACCGAGGCAACTGAACTAGGCTTCAGCGGCTGGTTTACTCTACCTTGTGATTCCACATCATTATTTCCAAGGCTAGGCCCTCTGGTTCATTGGATTCACCCTTGTATCGTTTCTTTCTGCCGCTCCAATTTTTACAGTCTGCCCTTTCTTCTGCCTTGCAGTGGTACCCTAGCTTCAACCGGCCAGTCCAGGCCTGTTGATCCGCCATCGCGACGTCCTAGCATCAGGAATATTGTCAGCTTGCTTATCTTGTTGAATGAGCACATATGAGGTGTTTCGTCCTGCACACGTAGAGCAATCGCCTTACTTGCAACTCCGGGCCACACTCTGGATCACAACCCTCACAAAACGCACCCATCTATACAAGCCAGTATCCGTTTACTCATCCTACCAGCCATCTATAACATTATTTCTGCGCAGATTTGTCCGCAGGAGGGAGCATCAGCGTTTGCAGGATCAAGTTGAAACCTGACGCAGTTATACTGGTGTCAATCCGACGGTGCATCTACCAGTGACTGGCCCGCTCGCCCAGCGCCTGTTCGCAGACCTACATCAAGCATATCCCGGAACTGATCATCTGGGGCGAAACTAACAGGTCGATTGTTGGTTGGCATTCTCACCAACTTACACTTGACTAGCCTTTCCCGGGGACCAGCAGTCGATCATATCTTCCATCCGCAGAGAAACAGCTTGAAACCACTGCATCCTCACCAAGACTCTCATCCGTTCGTCGTACAGTGAGAACAGGCCCATTCGAATACCAGGTGGTTCAAATTCGGCGCCGGATATCAGACGCCTGGGGAGGACTCACATGCTGTAACAGGCAGGCGAGGCTCGACAACTACTGATCTTAAACTGCTATTTTCCCCCCAAACGCATCGAGTTCGTTCAATGTCGACGCCTAGCGGTTGACCACACACTTAACAAGCTCGAATAAATTCTTCCAACGGGTAACCGAAACAGAGATCAGGACCAGTCGGCAGTTTCACTCCCACAACATCCGTCAACCTCGGAGCATGAAGCCTTTGCCGATATTCCTAAGCACTATCATTACCGATCGGCTATAGCTCTGATTCCCAATACATCCCATTTCTGGCAAAGCCAGGCCATATTGATACGAAACATCCTCTCAGGCTGCTAAAGTTGACAGGGATGTGTATTCAAGAGTACATCGCCTACCAATGTGGGCACCGGACGCCGGGCGTCGTCCGCCCATGCCCGCTTACCACCGCAGGACACAACTTTCCTGTCTGCACCATCCAGCCGTCAAAGCAACACCTGGCCCAAACCATGTGCGGTCCTTGTGAGAGACTCCTACACTCTCGCTGGGTGCTTATTCGGGAGTGGGAGCATCGCTGGCTGCATGAGCGTGGAGTATGCAGTTGTGATGTGGTCTTCCCTGGCCTTCTGACCCAGCCACGCGTGATTGGCACCGTCTCAGGAGATGAGGAGGAGGAGGACGGCACCGAAGAGTACGGCAGCACAATCGGACGTTTTGGCTTTGCTCCCGGTGACACAGCGGAGGCAGAAGAGGGACAACAAGGACAAGCTGGTACAGGAGGAACTAACCACCACATCCCGCCCATATTCACCGAAACCACCGTCGCTGGCGACCAGCAGCGCGTCGCCATCCGTCTTCCAGGCTTGTACGCGGCAGAGTGGCTGGCCGACCACCGCGCTCTTCATGATAGCGGACGATGCCAGTGTCCGGTTCAGTCCACGCCGTTCCAGCCTGACGTAGGCGAGTACGACATGAGCGCCGAGGAACGGGAGTTTCTCCAGGAATACCGCCAGAATGGAAATCGTACCCGGGCGATAAACGAGAGCGAGGAGGAAATTGCGCTGCGGATGGCCCAGATCAATGATACATTTGGACCTTTCAATCCAGCTGCTGCTGCCACTGCTGCATCATCAGCCCCGGTCAAACCAACTCCTGTGTCTGACTTACCTCCTCCTACCGGCCCTCGTCGTGCCAGAGCTGCCTCGCATCACTACCAGGGCCAGAACCACGGCGCTCATCATCCGCAGTTTCGTCAGGGACAGGTTGGACACCACCACGATCAGCCAAGATATTCCACTTTGTCGTCAACGTTGGCCACGACCACCGTCATGCCCTTTTCCCAGAGGCAGTCTTTCGATCCGGCACCACGATATTATCAGCAACAGTTCCCTTTCGGCCTTGCAGATCAACTTGTGCAGCTCTCTATATCAACCGCACAGGGAGGAGGACATTCTTACGCGGGTCCATCGAATTACAACAACTACAATCACACTGAACATGTCTACGGACCAAACACTTTCATACCAATGGGCATCATTTTCCCCGATGATCACATTCAAAACCACGTACCCGAGACCCAGGATGACCAACAACATCATCAACAACAACAACCTCATGATCAGCATCATCATCATCATCATCATCATCAGGAACTTCGCTCCTTAACCAGTAGTCTCCCCCCGCCCTCTTCGCTTCTTCCATTTCCCGGACTTCCCTACTGCGGCCTCCCCGTCGGCTCGGGACCAGAGGGCAGCGAAGTGCACATGCCTGCTTGGGAGGAGTGTCCACTGAGGAGGTGCAAGTCGAGCTTACCTGCACCTGGTGTTGGAGCCGAAGGAGCAGTGCCTTCCATTTCTACCAACCTCGACAATGCAGAGACTAGTTCTACTGAGTACGGGATCACCGCCACTGAGCTTTTCGGACCCGAGATTAAGGGTGGAGTCGAAGCCAATACCAATACCGGGAACGGCAACGGCAACGGAATCGGAAATGGAGACGGAAACGACTACTATGAGAGTGGTTGTGAAACTGCGGTTGGTCATACTGATACTGAGCAGCATCAGCCGTATCGCACTGGTGGTTTGGGAGGAGGAGGAGGACACCAGCGAAGCTCATCGTACTCTTGAGCGAATTGGGGATTCTTCTATTTCTTTGAGTCCTCGGGAGTCGTTTTACCTTTCTAATTTTTGCGAACAACAAGTGGTTGGCGGTCTGTATGGGAGCGACTCAGTTGAGAATCTTAACGATGCAGATTTTCCACACAGCGTGGTGTGACGACGGCTGGGAGGTTACTGTAACATTCTGTTTGTAACAATAAGCAGTCGTCGCGTTGCGTTTTTTCCCTTTCCAGTTGGTCATACAACATACAACATACACATCGAGGCTTTGATACAATACATTCGACACAACAGAGATGCTGGCAGAGCAATAACGACAACAACCAACGTTCAAGGTGTCTGTTGTCGCAAACGACGACCACCGCAGACCATGGCAGAGAGACGCAAGAGAAGAACGCAACTATATGAAATCAACAACTGAATTGGCCACTCATTCCTCTTCTTCTCTTGCTGGTCTACCTTTATCTCTATGTTTTCTGTTCCGTTTTGCCAAGTAGGATAAGAGAAGAAAGTGCAGAAGAAGAAGTCCCACACACACACACACACACACAACCTTGATCAGCAAAACCTAAGTACTGTTTCTCCTTTCGGCTTTCTTCCAAGGTTAAAAAAATAACAAACACCGCGCGCGGCCTGCTTTCCCGCATATTCACTATGCTTCTTCATTCATCAAAAACACCAACCACCCCATCCGTTGCGTTACATTGCGTTGCGTTGCGTTCCATTTCACAGACTTTGCAAGCAGCAGTTTTCCACATTACCGATCGACCTCACCTGAGAGTAGGAAACAGGGGTTAGTTATTGAACTAGGGGGAAGGGGGGATCTTGAAAAGGGGTTAAGGCAGTAAGGAAAAAAAGAAGAAACTTACCAAACACCAAATCCATTGTGCCGATAACAGCCACAGCGTCAGCCAACATGTGGCCTCTCGACAGGTGATCGAAGCCACCCAGATGAGCGAAGCCCGGAGCGCGGATATGCACACGGTACGGCCTCTCGGTACCATCGCTGACGACATAGACACCCATCTCGCCCTTGGGGGCCTCGATAGCCGAGTAGGTGTCGCCGGGCGGAACGGCGTAGCCCTTGGTGTAGAGCAAGAAGTGGTGGATGAGGGCCTCCATGTTCTCCTTCATGGCGGAGCGAGGGGGCGGGGAGATCTTGTAGTCCTCGACGCGGACGGGGCCGGCGGGCATTTTGTTGAGGCACTGGTGGATGATGCGGAGCGACTGGCGGAACTCCTCCATGCGGCACAGGTAGCGGTCGTAGCAGTCGCCGTTGATGCCGACGGGAACGTCGAACTCGACCTGGTCGTAGGCGTCGTACGGCTGGCTCTTGCGGATGTCCCAAGGCACACCGGAACCGCGGAGCATGACGCCTGTGAAGGACAGGTTCAGAGCGTCGGCGGCAGAGACCACGCCGATGCCGCGCAGACGGTCGATCCAGATACGGTTGTCCGTAAGCATCTCCTCGGTCTCGTCGATGCGGTCGCCGAACTGAGTGGCCCATTGGTAAATATCATCGAGCAGGCCGAGAGGGAGATCTTGGTGGACACCTCCGGGGCGGACGTAGGCGGCGTGGAGACGGGCACCAGAGACTCGCTCGTAGAATTCCTATGTTTTTGACACATTAGTTTGAGGTGTTGGGAGTGGATCGTGCAAGATATTAGGTCTTTTTCGCGTAGAGTTCAGTTTCCCGCATTGAGTTTCGTATACCCATCCATCTGATAGCAACCTCCAATAGTTTAAACAGATGAAAAATCCAAACTCACCATCAACTTCTCTCTTTCCTCGAAACCCCACAAGAAAGGCGTAAGAGCACCGACATCCATGGCGTGAGACAGAACAGACATGAGATGGTTGAGGATACGGGTAATTTCGGCGAACAGGGTACGAATCCACTTGGCGCGTTCGGGGATCTCAACGTTGAGCAGCTTCTCGACGGCCAGAGCAAAACATTGCTCGTTGGTCATCATAGAGACGTAGTCGAGACGGTCAAAGTAAGGGAGCGCCTGGAGGTAGGTCCTGTACTCGCACAGCTTCTCGGTGCCGCGATGCAGAAGGCCGACGTGGGGGTCGGCACGAACAATCTCTTCACCCTTGAGCTCGAGAATCAAGCGCAACACACCGTGAGCGGCAGGATGCTGGGGACCGAAGTTGACCGTGTAGTGCCGCACCTTGCGGGCCAGGATGTGATCCTGAGGGGGCGCTCTCGGGGCACCGTCCGCCTTCAAAGCCTCCAAACCGTAGAGATCCTCGTTGGGCGCAAAGTCCTCGCCGACAGGGACCAGACGGGTTCCCTGGCCCTCGTAGCTGTGCTCGGCATACCGTCTGAGGGCGGAGGCAGAAAAGGCGCGGGTCGAGTTGAGGTTGTTGAAGATGGGGGCACTGGGGCGCATACAATGTCGCTTGGCATTGCGCCCAGCGAGTCGGAACAGCGACGTCGCCATTGTTGTGAGAAAGAGTGTCGCTCGGAAGGTCGGGGGCCGGGGATCGATGGATTCGGAGGAAGATGGACGGCGACGGATAGACAAAGGGGAGGAGGTTCGCCGGTGGGTGTGGCCTCTTCTCCGGCGTTTCAATCGGCTCGCAGTGAGCTTGCGATTCTAGTGATAGCAGTAGCAAGCAAGGTGGTGGTGGGGATGCTTGACGTCCACTCGAGTTCCAGTTCCCAGACCACGGCAGCGGCAACGCCCGAGCTTCGAACTCCTCAAATCGTTGCCGTCAGTTGGTCAGTGATTTCAATCCAATCAGACGCCATCAGAGGCCAAGCTCCTTTTGTTCCAATGTCACTTCCCCCCACGGCGGGCAAGCTCTCTTCGACTGTTGCCGGCCAGGGCGTTTATCCGGCAGCCGGCCGCCAAGTGGTGCCATGAGTGTTAGTAATCTGATTGGCTGCCATCTTGACTTAGAAGCCTTCGGTTAGACTCTCTTCGCCAGAGAATTGAGTTGGGGATTGGGCTTTGGGTTGAAGATTTCAAAGGAAAGAAGGGGAAGAAAAGCGCATGTCCGCAATTATATCTTTATTACCAGAGAGATCCAAGATGTGCTGGAGTTAAGAGTGGAGTTAGTCAACATGTCACTTACTCGCGACAAACCTCCAATGTGGACATGGACTTTAAAGCCATGATGTCTCCCTCGCTGGAGCTGCTACCAGCCATTGGACTTTGGACTAACCCTCTGGATGTGCAGATGTATCTAATTCAACCGTCTTCATAACCCTCATTTCCAACTGGCAATTTCAATATTCCATTAAAGCCCAGGTTCTGCTTATGTTCGAAATCAACAACCTGAAGAGGTCATGGCCCGCCATGTACCCTGTTGGCCTTGTCATTGCGGTTCTGTCCACAATGTCTCCGCCGAGGCCCATCAGCATTGAGCCAGGCAGTCCCTGAACCTATCCGCCACTGCTGCAGCGCGATAAGATCCCAGCTGACCAATCAGTCGCGCTCCCGCAAAGGCGGTCAAAAAGTTTCCCGTTCATGGGAAAAATTCTGCCGCTCCATCGCCCGTCGCAGCAAAGAGCTCTCTTTCCCCCAAGATTTTGCCCGGCTTGCCGACCTGTGATAGCGAGAGGGTAACCCCGCCAAAGCATTCATTACACATAATATCCGTCGCAATGGGATCCTCAAAGAAGCAGACCGCCGTGCCCGTCAGGACAAAGGTCCCCAGCCCAGAAGAGGTTGAGAAGCGTAACGTACGTTCAATCACTCAATAAATGGCTTGCCGTCATCATGGATCAGTCAAGGCTGCGCTGCGCATTGCATACAACGAGAAACTGACTGACGGCATTCTTATTTCTAGACGGTCCATATCAACGCCGAGACTGTCACCAATGTCACATCCACCGACTTCCCCGGCTTCTACCCCGGCGAGGACCACTCCTGGGACATCGAAAAGTTCCGCGAAAACGTCCGTGTAGTGTTCCACCAGAACGACCCATATGAGGCTCAATTCTCGCTCATTGGCGTCGACGCCTCCATTGCCAACGCCTTCCGCCGCATCATGATCGCCGACATCCCCACGCTGGCCATCGAGGACATCTTCATGTGGAACAACACCTCTGTGATCCAGGACGAAGTTCTCGGCCACCGCCTTGGCCTGATCCCCTTCACCGGCGGCAAGGAGGGCCTCCACAACTTCCTCAAGTGGTACAAGAAGGGCGAGACGCCCTGCGACTACAACACGGTCGAGCTCGAGCTCAAGGTCAAGTGCGAGAACAACCAGAACGCGCCGACGGACAGCAAGGACCCCAAGGAGCTCTACCACAACGCCCACGTGTACGCCAAGGACATCAAGTTCGTTCCCAAGGGCCGCCAGGCCAAGTACTTTTCCGGCGAGAACGTCATCCGCCCGACCAACCCCGACATCCTCGTCGCCAAGATGCGCCCCGGCCAGGAGATCGACCTGACGATGCACATGCACAAGGGCGTCGGATCCGACCACGCCAAGTTCTCGCCCGTCGCCACGGCCTCGTACCGTCTTATGCCGACCATCACCATTCTCGAGCCGATCCTGGGCCGCGACGCCGAGAAGTTCCAAAAGTGCTTCCCTAAGGGCGTCATCGGGCTGGAGAAGGTCACCAAGGAGGAGGCGAAGCAGAAGGGCAGTGGGTACGAGGGCCACGAGGGCGAGCTCAAGGCCGTGGTCCTGGACGCCATGCGCGACACCGTCAGCAGAGAGTGCTTGCGCCATGACGAGTTCAAGGACAAGGTCAAGCTCGGCCGAAGGAGGGACCACTTCATCTACCTGGTGGAGAGCACGGGGCAGTGGGAGAGCGATGCCATCTTCCTCGAATCCATCGCCCACCTCAAGGAGAAGGCGAAGAGGTTCGAGAAGATGGTGGTGAACATGGTGCAGTAAATGGTTACTGTACCAGGGTTAGTAGAGGAGATATCAAAGACAGGATGAGGAAGAGGTGAAGTCATTATTTTCATGTAGGGTGATTGAAAGAATTTGAGCGATCATCATGTGGAATCACATACAGGGAAAAAAGAGGAAAAGTCACACGGGTCTGGGGTCGTGACTAGATACCCTTTCTTCTCTCTTGTAACCATCTAAAAGAACATTGGAACGGCGTCACGGAGGCTAGGGATTGGTGGCCAGCTTTAGTTTAATGGTTTCTGCTTGTTAATTATTATAGACATGTCGGTGCATAGGAGTCATTACCACACACTGTCTTGCATAAACAATACCCGTGGTTCAAAGCAGACTTGGGGTCCGTCAATATGTACGCAGACCTAGTAGGTTGAAGCACGCACCTATTAAGGAGGATATCTTGTATTGATATTAACTCGATTGACTCAAAAACGAGTGGGCAGCAAATTCATCGCTATAACCCCCATTTTTTGACGCTTGTCTTTCCCCGCTGCTTGTTGTGTAACGCTCCCGCTTGTAAGCAATGTACTAATCCAGCCCCGAACCAGCATCAACATGGTCCAGCCAGGCCAGGCAAGTAACCACGAGGCGTTCATGTAAATTTGAGGCTAAAGTTGAACACCACTCCTACAAAAGCTGGATCAGTAACGGCGATCTCAGTACCTGCCGTCATTCCAAGCTCCTCAAGTGTCTTGCTCAAGTTCGGCCTCGTCTGCTCCTCCAAGCTCGGAGGCAACTGCATGTACAGTGTCTTTCCTTCCGCGCGGACTGACGGCTTCTTCAGCTGGGCCTCGGGCAAGGCGGCGAACGACTCGATGAGCTCCTCGAGCGTCCACTTGGGGTTGACCTTGAGCACCCTCGTCGTCATGCCGCACACGGGACAATCCTCCTTTTGCTCGTGCTTGAAGGTATACGTGTAAATGCTGTCGTTGCCGGAATACATCATATAGTTGGGCTCGCCGTCGCCGGGGGTGCCCAAAAAGGGTGCACAGCTGGACGCGATCTTGAGCGCCTCGTTGCAGCAGGCCGCGGCGATGACCGAGTTTGTGGCGGCGATGGCCGGGATGATATTCTTCACCACGCCCTGCGTCAGAGAGTACGTGACGCCCGAGATGTTGAACTCCTTTGCTCGCTCGAGGGCCTTCTGGTAGAGCCAGGTGATGTGCTCCGGGTCGTCCTTGTCCAGCTGTGGAAACGGCTTCTCCTTGTCCCAGGCGATGACGTGAGCCCATTCGATGCAGTGTTCCGGCTGGCGAGGGATGCTGGCCAGAGTGCAGAGAGGAACGGCGGCTCGCGGGGCGTGCATGTCAAGCTGACATTCGATACAGGAGCCCATGGTCGGCAGGATGACGCGGGCTTGGCCCTTGAAGCCCTCGGTGCCGCCGTCGATCAGAGGTTTCATGCTGTCCGGGTTTTCGGGGTTTACCATGTTGATAAGGGTGGCGTTGATCCATCGGCGTGCCTCGATGCTGTCCAGTCCGCAGACAACAATCTGAAACTGCAGGTAGAAGTCCTCATCGAAGTCCTGTATCTTGCAGTTATACGGCATGATCTTGACACCTTTTACCCTCCTCTCAACAAACTTGGCAGCTACTTCGGCTTTGAATTTCCCTACGTCCGCGTGGCGGAAGAGGAACTGGCGGTTAAGGTTGGAAATGTCAATAGTGTCTAGGCCTCCAAGTCAGCTTCTCGATAACATGTAGTTACTTATAGAGGATAACCGACCCATGTCAATGACGGAAATGTCCTTGAACCCAGAAAGAGCGAGGTTCTTGAGGATCTCACACCCAAGTCCTCCTGCTCCGCTACTCTACTGTCAATTCTCACAATCCTGGCTAGTCGAAGTATGGGCTGAGACTAACATGACTCTGGGAAAGACGTCAGTTTCTGCTTGATATACACATACACTTGACATACCGCCAGTTGGACCGGTGACTTACAAGATCTTGATTTTGTTCATGTTGTCCACCACCGTTGAGCCGTCAAACTCATCCGGATCCACGAACGCACCTGGCCGTGTTCGGACATTGTCGAGATATTTCCTGTGATAAGGTAATTTGTTAGCTGTTGGTTTCCAAAGTTCAAGATATGGAATCCAGGGGGGTTGTCTTTGGTTCCGGTCAAGAGCGCATAACACCTACCATCTTTTGGACTCGGAGACTGGTAGTACTTCCGGAGTTGACATGACTAGTTTATGGCTGAAGAGGGGGGGCTTCGCTGGCGGGAATAACAAGAGAGGCGGATGGTGGGTAGGATGGTGATAGTGATGATATTCGCTGATGAGCTCACAAATAGTTGCGAGTTGGATGTACGATAGATGAGGGTTGAGGTGAGCTGACGGGACAACAAACAACGGAACTGGAAGGGGAAGCTTGCGGGGACTTCCTAAGATGGTGAAGTGGGTAGCTCCTGCCGCCCTGTTAGTGGATCCCCTGTAGATTGCCAATGGCGGCAACCGGGAGTGCCCAAGGGTGTGATTCAGGCCAGCTACGGGGAAGGGACGACTGCATGCACAGTGGATCAGTTAGTAGCAGCACACGCTATTATCTCCCTGTTGCTTTTCGTTTGACGCAGATGGTTGTCAACAAGAGACGGAACTGCACAATTCCACTTCTTATCGACAAACGATAGCTACAGGTAGGTTACGTCCCACTGTTCAGAATCTGATATCAAGCTCATCCATTGTTATCCAAAGTGTCACAAACTAACTTGACTTCAGATAAATGAGATGGACGGCCTCTTGACGCCCATCAGCACCTCTCGCCTGAGTGCGAACAAGAACGAACCTCTGCTACAGGAAGTCGTTCTCAAAAAGGACACAGCAAAGCCGAACCAGTCTTCTGCTCAGAGACCCGTGAACTCGCCCGAAGAAGCTCTCGAAGTTCTACGACATGAACCTGACTACGATCAGCTAGTCGCTACTTTGCGATTTCTCGACCATGAGGAAGCTGGGTCCGCATTTAGCATCAAAGAGCCAAATCCCATGGCCGCAAAGCTGGTTCAGGTGCTGGTGTCAGAAATCGTTCCGAACTATTGGACGTTGCTAAACGAAGAATCCCGTGAAACCAAGTCCTCGGCCTTAGGGCTTCTGCTATCTTGTCTTCGCAGTCTTACGGGAGTCAATGCCATTATTGTGCGTCTGAAGGCATTGCTACAAGAGACGAAAGCGGGTGATGGCAAGCCCAAGCGACCTGACATCGCCATCAACTTGACAGTCCTTCTCAATCTGGCATGTCTGTTACTTAAAGGCGATGATACCATACGCGGCATTTGGAACGCGGCTACAAAAACGCTGAAAGGGAACGTCAAGACCCGAATGCTCTTGCAAGAGATTCTTTCGACCTTTGGCAGTGGTCGGATCCTTTCACTGACTGCAGAGGCACTGGAACATGCGAAGGGTCATAAAGCAGAAGTTGACACCAGCAACATCTGGATAGCGAATGGACCGGAATATACCAAGTGGTTGAGCGCAAACATTGTCAAGTGGCAACTAACCTCGCCGACACCGGATGAGACGAAGCTTTGTTCGGAGTTGTTTTTGAAGGCTCTACGATTGGGGCACTCTGGTAAGGCAGCTGCGAAGGACCTGGGTTTCTGAGACGATGACTGACTTGAGGCAGATATGGCCATGAAATGTATCCTTACGAGGTTGCTACTTACCCAAGGGGTCGACAATGAGCGCTTTGGGCTCCTAGTGGGAAATCTTCCTCGAAGCGAGCAGCGTAAAGTTCTTTTCTCGGTCTTGAAAACGTTCGCCGAGGACTATCTTGATAGGCTAGGCACATGTGATACTGAAGGTGGCCCCAAAATGGTATCCGCGGTAGCTGGTGCAATCAACTCTATCACGAAGAACGATCCGGATAGAATGACATATCTCGTCGAGTGGCTCACAGGTTCATCTGGCGCTGGACTTGGCAACTCTATCGGTATCCGACGAGCTGTCGTGGCAGTTGTTTCTCAGGATAGAGACTCCATCGTCAGTGTACTCGAGAAGAGTATCGCCCAGTTCGGAGATCAGCTATACGTCAAACACTCTCCTATGTTGCAACAAGAAGGTTGGTTCTGGCCTTTAAAACAATGTCTTCTTTCTTCTCCAGCATCACTAACCTTTTCATAGTGCACGCGCAGGTGTTGCTCCTGAGCGCTGGATATGTCCACAAAATTTCGCCCTTGAAACTCACACTGCTGATGAGGTCAAGCCCTTGGCTAAACGCCATCTCCAACAGGCTATCGTCATCGAACCAGAGAGCTCGTTTCCTGGGCATGGTCGTTGGCGAAGGGCTTTCCAGTCTCGTTGACAAGGGTGATAAACGGCTGAACTTCCAGCTTGAAGAAACGGAGCTGCCGGAAGGAAAGTGGTACAAAAGTCTTGTTGAGATACAGGACACTCTTGGCTCATGGGATTTGCTACTTAAGCCTCAAGAGCCTACTCAAAAGAAGACGAGCCTCAAGAAACTTTCCCACAAGCCAGCACCATCACAGCTTCGGACCCAGGGGTTCATCATCGAGGAACTAAGCGATGAAGACCTAAGCGAGCAGGATGATATTGTTGGGTACGGAAAGCCCGAGTCAGATGTTGAAGACTCGGATGACGATCCAGAGTTGGTCAAGAGAGACAAGGCCAAAGCACCAGTTTATGTCAGGGATCTCATCAGATATCTCCGCGACACCGACGATTATGATCGCCAGAAGCTTGCACTCCTCACTGCCCCAACGCTCATTCGACGAAAGGCGAATTACGGCACAGAGGTTACTGACCACGCAGAGGAGCTGGCATCCTTACTAGTCGGTCTCCAGGACAAGTTTGAGATGGACAACTTTGACGACTTGCGGCTGCAGGCAATGATCGCCATCGTCGTTGCACAACCTCAACTCATGGCCCAGTGGTTCGCAAAGACCTTCTTTGACGGGGACTACTCGGTGTCTCAGCGTTCTTCCATCCTCGCCGTCTTGGGTCTCAGTGCTCGCGAACTTGCCGGGTTCGAGACGTCCGAATACGCAGCAGCAGCCTCTTTCCCATCCAAAAGCCTCCCGGAGAAGGTAGAGAGGCTATTCCTCAGCCAAAGCCCTTCAAACGCATACCAAAGCCCCTCCTCCTCATCATTGAAGCCCCTGCCTCGCAACGCGCTCGAAAGCGTAGCAACGTCAATCACGTCAAACTTCCTTGCACCCCTCTCAGCAGCCGCCGCCGACTCCGCCACCGGGCCGGATGTCCTCAAGCTCTCCACCTTCAAGTCCCGTCTTTCCGGTGGTGATGATGGCACCAACAACGCCGCAGCTCAGGAAGAACAACACATCAGCAATCCCAAAATCAAGATCAAGTCCCGCACCAAACCGCGCATCCGCGCCATCCCCAACACCACCGCCCACCTCATCAGCACCTCCTTCTTCAACCCGCTCACGGCCCGCTTCCAAGCAGCTCTGCATTCTTCCGTGTCCCGAATCCGCGGGATCATGTTCCAGCCCTACTTGCTGGCACTCTACCTCAAGACCCTCGCCCTCCTACTCCACGCCGCAGGCCCCAGCACGCTTGCGCTCCCGCAGATGACGGGCGACCTGTGGCGTTTGCTTCTAAGCACGAGCGTGCGCGCACAGGCTGTGGGCGACGTCGGTGTCACGCAGGCGGTTTTATTTGGGCTTTTGACGCTGCTGGATGTGAATGAGGACCGGATGAGGGATGTGTGTCAGGAGCTGGGCAAGGAGGTGGTGGAGACGGAGGGGTGGGTGGCGGGGGTGTTTGAAGGTTTGAGAGGCGGTGATGAGGGCGGGGAGGAGGAGAGGACGAAGATGATGGCTGCGGGAGTGCTGGTGAGGTTGAGGGAAGGGGTGGAGAAGTATAGGTTGATGATGGTTGGGGATCTGATTGGGTTGTGAAAATGATGACTGGAGCTTCTTCTTTGAGGGTTTGTTGAGTGGTTTAAGAGCATCAAGAAAGAAGGGCAAGGGGGTCCAGGGGGGATGAGAGAGGTGTCCTTTGTGGTCTGAGTTGGTGTAAGGGACTGACTATCTATCCTATGATGGTCGTCAAAAAGCTGGGTCGGTTGTAAAGCAATTAGAATGAAATCTTCCATAGATCAAGTCTTGCTGTGCCATTCTGCAATTCTGCCTGGCGTAATTGTTGATACAGTAGTCAGTATGTGCAGCCAAACAGTAATGATGACAGAGGAGGACGAGGAACCGTAGAACAGGAAGGAGTTTGTCTCGGTCAGTAGGGTAATACTGCGGCTGGAGCTGTCAACGTTCTTCCACATGCACAGATAACCAAGTTTCTAATTCTGGTCAAGATTCAAAATATGTTGCTTCCCATAAAGTTGAAATAGGTATAAGTCCATTGAACAAACTCATTAAACAAAAACAAACTCGGTATCATAAAGCTAAAACGGATCAAGTAAAAACCATCAAGAAGGGTGTACCCGAGATCAGACAATGGTCGTCTGAACCTGGCGCTCCTGAGCACCCCCTGCCACACTCCCAGTTCCAGTCGTATTCGTCTCAGTCCCGGTCAAACTCGCACCATACTCTTCCTTCTCATTCAACTGCTGCGGTACAGCCTGCTGCAAATGCTGACCCTCCGCCCTCGGCTGCTGCTGCGTTACCTGCTGGGCTACCTGCTGCTGTTGTGCCTCCTGCAAATGCTGACCTTCCGCCCTCGGCTGCGAAGCCTGGAGTGGCTGTTGAGCGTACTGCTGCTGACACTGAGGAGGAGGCGAGTTGCTAGTAACATACTTGGCGTCCTCGTCCTGCGCCGTCGTCGTGGGACGCCAGTCACGCAGATCGTCTTCGGCATCGTTGAGGATTTGTCTGGCTTGGTGGCCCTGTGTGTACGGGATACCGGCGTCGCCAGGGACGATGGGAGTGTCGTCGAGGAGGTTGAGCAGACGGAGACCGTGGCGGGCGAGGATGACTTGCTTCTCGGCGCGCTCGATGGTGGCGAGGAACTCGGCTGTGTAGGCTTCTTTAAGCTTTTGACGAGTCTGGTTTTGGTTATGTTAGTCGAGTTGAACGTAGGGGTTGTACAGGATGGGGAAAGAAAAGGAGAACGAGGGTAAACATACAATATTCGACAACTGCGCCTCAGCAACCAAATTCTCCGCTTCGGCCCTAACGAGCTCCTGTTCCAGTACCACCAGCCTTGTGCTCTCGGGCTCCTTGGACTTAAGCTTCGCAATCTCGTCCGCGATCTTGTTCTTGCCGTCCCGGCTCGGCTGCACGCTCTTCTCCGTGTTACGGATGGCTTTCAGCGTGCCGCGGCTATCGTCCAGCGCGTGCGCATAGTTGTCCTCCTGCTCGCCCAGCTCCGACAGGATCACGCCTACCTTGTCACTTATGTCACTGATGCCTTCGTCCGAAGTCTGCTCGCCCCATTCTGAGAGCTGTTGGGCGATCGAGAGGCGCTCCTTGGCCGCCGTCTCGTGCGCGGAAATCAGGTTGTTTTCGGACTTGATTAGACGATAGAGCTTCTTGGACATCTCGGGCTGGATGGTCCCCCGGAGGGAGGACAGGTTGAAGCCACGGCGTGAAGAGTGGTGGTGAGAGGAGGAGTTGGTGGAGGTACCGTTACCGCTGCTCCGGTTGTTGGAGCGGATTGAAAGTGCTCGGTTCCTGAAGGGATTGTGTTAGTAGATTTTTGGACAGAACAATATGCTATGGACAGAGGTACCACAAGCTTGGAGAACGACTGCTTTCGATGCTTTTGCGGGACATGGTGGTAGGTTGCTTGGAGTTTTACAAAGATTTGGTATCACTAGGTTGATGGATAGGTATTTGTGTGCTAACTTACATGGTGCCTGACAGTTACTACTGATGGGAAGTATTATAAAGTGTTCCGTCTTGGGTTTGCTGATGTTGATCGTTCTTTCTGTTGTAAGTTACCTCTTCGGAAGGTGCTGTTTAAGTATTGCAGAAGTGTGTGGTTGATGCTAGGCTGGTATATAGACTCGATAGAGCACGCTGATGGATGAACTAGAAGGAGTAGTGAGGTAAAGAGAGAATACAAAAACAATTATCGTGGAATATATTTGGTTTTGAAGAAGTATCCTGGTTTGGGGCTCCTGCGTAAGAGGCACAGGAGGGTACCTCTAATGGAGCCGATCGACGGCGAGGCAGGTCGTCACAACTTTCTGCGTGCCAGTCTTCCGGTAATCTCAGGCTCGACGTCACTGGGCACGAGGAGGCTGAGGAAAGGCGATATAAAAACCAAGGTCTTCGTAACCCCATATGGCCTGGTAGATCGTAAACTAGGCCGGCTTTGAATCGGAGACATGGGCTAGGAAAGGATTTGGAGAGTTAAAGTGACTGGTATGCATGTGTACTGTGTGTGACCTTTCCCTCTTTGATGGCTGGCTTTTGCTCTCCCCTCCCTCTTCTCTTTTCCCAAATCACTAGTCCTATGCATGTCTGTCACTCGCCTTCATTAACTGAGGCCCAACTTTGCCGTCCACGTACTCAGGTGACTTCTTCCCAAAGTTAATAAAGAGGTGGTGTGGTTACTGTGCTGCTGTCGTCATAGCCTCAGTGTTTAAAGTCTTCAAGACAAAGAGGTTGTGTGACGTCATATTGAAAGACCCTTTCGCATCCGCTTTTGGGGGTTGAACCCCACTTTTCAAAGCTCTTCCCCTGGTTGTTGTTGTTGTT